TAATATTTTTAACGTTACGTTTTGATATCGGCTTCAAAGTGAATCATTAAAATTATGTTATAGAGCTTAAAATATTATATTTATTTAATACATAATATATACACAGTTCAATATTGAATTGAGTTTATCTAAAAAGTAAATATAGTCTGATTAACCAAATGTAAACAAAATATTCATCGCACAATTAAAATTACGTCATAATAATTGTGTAATATCCATGTTTCGAAATAGTAGTTTTTATACGTATGTATTCTAAATGTGAATAGATAATTAGGGCTTTGAGGTTGTTGCATTTGTGTGCTTTTTATTTGGAATATTAGATTTATTGCTAAGCATGAAATTATTTTAACAAAACTACAAACAAATATTCAAAGTTTATACCTAGTGATAATGTTTGCATATTTAGTAATTTTGAACTATTAATAGTCTGGGTATTTCTAAATGTTACAATTATTTAGGCGATATTTTATGGGTAGTGTAATGGGAAGTTTATAATACACGTAGGTGCAATTTGAAAACTTGGTAATGAAAAAATAAATAAATATAGGTACCTACATTATAATGTATAATATTTATTTTGAGTTTTAACTTTTCCCTAGAAACTATTTCAATCTCTGGTTGACATACTGTTTCTCGTTTTTATTATTAAATATTTAGTAAATATTATAAAATGCAAAAATTATTTAGTAAAATACTATTATGAAAACTATGAGTAAAAACGTGCATATTTCTAGTTTTTAAACGCATGTGTATTTAGTATTTTTAGTGCATTAGGTTCCAACCTTATTGATACTATACAGGATAATTTCCTTAAAACACTATTAGTGTACAAGAATTGAATTTTGAGTTCATGTGAAACCAAATTAAACATCTATAATAATATTTTCAATTTTTATGAATATGCAGAGTGTATTATCAATAATATTAATTACTGATAATTTACTCATACATATTTTGTATTAGTCAATAATGTAGGTAGGTTCTATACATTATGTAATATAATTAGGGGCCGGAATTATATTCTTTTGCATATTTTTTTTGAGGCTGTGCAGTCAGACGGGGGTTCGAAATCTTTACAAATCATGAAACCGGTTAATTAATGGCAAAAGTTTTTTTAGCATATTTGAGAATATTTCAAGATAAAAGAATATTTCGTACAATAAACAATATTTGAGAATATATCGATTAATTTTTATAGACATTCGATATTTTTTGTTGCAGTGGTGTAAATAATATAAATTATGTGTCCGATAATAGTGATATGATATTGAGACATTATATACGTATTATAACCATCGTATAACATGCCTTAATTAGTAATGTACTGTAATATTCTGTAGTAGATAAGTGACTTATCTAAGATAACGACAAGAAATGGAATTATTACTACACTTTAAAAATATTTAGCTCCAAGGCGTTCGATTATTACTACATGTACGGTACAACACTGCAGTGTCACACCGTCAGACACCGTTCTACACCGAAGAATTAAGTAGTCAAAAATCTCCCAGTCAGTCAGTACTTAAATGTAAAACAGTTTTTGACATAGAAACCATAGAAAACGATCTAATATTTATTAAGACCCATTTTTTTGTTCTCGTAACATACATAAAAAATTTGGAAAAATCTAATGTGTCTCTTGTTGATTCGATAAATCTAACTAAAAATACAATTGGTCAACTTCAAAAAATACCCGGAGTAAATGGAAATAAAATAAAAATAAAAAAAAACGTAGCTAAAGTTTTGAATGGAAATAATGAAGATCAACTTATAGACAATTTTTCACCGTCTATGATTATTCTGATTTTCAAAATGCTCTCGTGACTTCAGTTGACATCGAACGTTCATTTAGCACTTATAAAAATATATGAACAGACCGTCGTACAAATATGATACTAGATGGAGCAAAATATAGTTGTTAACTGTTTTCAAAAATTTTCGTAATTAAAAATACCTCATTGTTATTAATATAATTTAATCAATTCTTTTTTTAACATATATTATTTTGCTAATATTTTGCATATTATTTTTTATCATATACTTGCATATTACTTTTTATCATAAACCTACTTAATTATATCAGTTTTTTTTGTATTATTTTGTATATAAATGAATATTTTATTATGATTTTTAAAGAATATTGGAAGAATATTTTCAACTTTTTAGAGAATATTAGCGTTTTATTTTGGGTATTTTAAAATAATATAATTCCGGACCCTATATATAATACCTAATAGTACTAGTAGGTACCTATACATACCTAATATTAATATTGTATTTCTTTATAGTATGCCACTATTATTTGGAATTCAAATGAAAACCAGACTGATATGTTATAAATTATTACTAGGTACCAGGCCAGTCCATGGTCATAGTAAAAGGAGAGCTATTACTTTTGTTGGGGCCCTTTCCCCAAAAATCATTTCATTGTTTATTCAGATTTATTAATTTGTAATAAATATTAATTAAAATAAGTATAGTATATTTGTATATTGTAGTAAACCTAGTCACAATCTATGTATTTAAAATACAACAAAGGTGGGCAAGTGGGTGCCGCTCTGCTGTACAGAAGGTTAAAAGTGGGTCACTGTAATGGATGGTGTTAAATTTGGATTCAATGATATAATAGCATTGTATAAGAAAAACGATTCTGAGCGAAAACGATCAGTCAACTATGGTTTTTGAAATTACTAAGTATATTTGATGATATTATTGTGAATAAAGTAATTTAAATATAACCTATTAAGTGGAACCTTGTTTAAATTTCCAACCTTTAGATATAAAAGCTGAAAATTTCATACATTTATAACTACAAAATAATTATTAAATTTTTAATTTGATAAATTTTGTCAAAATTCCAACCTTCAATATTTATAAAAAAAAATTGTGTTAATAAATTGTTATTGTTTTTAACTTCAATTTTAACAATATATCAGGAGCCTTACATTACATTTTCACGCTTTTTTACTCAAAAAATAAAATTGTATTGATATTTAGACAAAAGAATGAAAAACTGACAACGTCCGTAAACTGCTCAAAAAGAGTCAAAATATTTTCAAAATGTTATGGTGTATAAAAAATGAAAACGTAAACATTCAAAAAAATGTTCATGTCTCTACAGTCTTTCATTTTTGAATAACAACAAAATAAAAAAACCACTACATGAGAAATCGAGTGAATATCCAATATTGTAAAAATATGAACTTCAAACGCTCTAAAAATTTAATTTGATTTGCTTGAGAACATTTTTTTTTTTTTAATAAATATAGACAAACTTATGAATAATCTTGTATTACATTTTCAAACCTCAGATTTAAAAAGATACATTTTTATGAATTATTAATTAACTCAAAATAATTTGCTGATTTTCGTGATTTTGACCAGATTTCAACTTTAAATACTTATAAAAAAAAACTGTGTCCAAGGATTTTTATTATTTTTTAAACGTCAGTGTAACAATATAGTAGGAGATTTGTATTACATTTTGAAGCATTTATATTTATTAAATAATATTTTATTGACATTCATAGAAAAAAAAAAACTAAACAAATTGGAAATATAAAATTTCCTTAAACAGTTAAAACAAATTAAAATATTTAGAAAATTTTATCGTGTATAGAAAATGCTAATAATATAAACATTCAGTCAAAATTTCATGGATCTATAGTCATTAGTTTTAATGTTTCACCAAAAACCAAAATCGATTTTGTGTAAAAATTTCCGTTTTGGCTTAATTTTTCTTTTGTTTTTCATGGCGCTTTTAAAAATTACTTTGAATTCACTTTCCCGTCGAACAAGATAAGTAGTTACTATTAAGTAGTTAAGTTGAAAAAAACTAGCTATAGTCAACACATTAGGGCTCTTTTCAACTTGCAGCCAGGGGCTATAGCCTATACCCTCCTCCCCAAATTGATCCAACATTTGAATAAACATTCAGTTTTTTTATAGTTATTTTATGTTCAAATTAAATTATTAGTTATTTTGTTGTAATATTAAAATATTATTCGTGATTACTTGAAATTTACATGTATTATATACAAATATTGAAATATGATAATACGCAAATTATATTAATTCAACTTCGGGCTACCGTATTAATAATAAGTAATAGGTAGTAATAAAAATATAATATAAAATATCCTAGACTGACAAACCGTCTCTCCGCTCAGAATCGTTTTTCGTATACAATGATATTATTGCAATGATCCATTGCATTCAAATTTAAGACCATCCATTACAGTGACCCACTTATAATGTAATGCACCTACAGCAGACTGACATCCACTTAAAGGCTTTGTTTTGTAGTAAATCTATAGAGGTAGAGGCTTCAGTCCTAGAATTTTTTTATCAAGTATATATGTATATGGGCTTTAAAAAATTGTGAATCACACCCATGCCCCCCTAGTTAAGCCTATGAATATAATATATTGGCCTGCTGACATTTTTTTTACCGGACTAATTCTTCTCATAGGTATCTTTCGAAAAGTTGATATGGCACCTTTGTATGAACCGAGTTACACTAAAACCGAAATATACAGATTTAATGTTGTGTTTTATATTAATTGTTCAATTTTCCATAGCTCTCATATTCTTAAATAGGTACCTACATACTTTATGTTTTTTTTGTCGATATTTTTGATGAATAGTAGATACGCATAAATACGTTATATTAATATAATGTTGTATGGTGGGAGGGAGTACTGGTCATTGCAAGCCTTATTATACTGTAAATATATCCAGAGGGTGATGGGGGACTACCAGACTTCCACCACCACTGCCGATGAGGCAACCTATAAAAGGGCTAACGAAGAGTCTTTCGTAACCATTGTGAGATCCGTGGAGCTACCTACTACTTTTTCGGTTCACTTACCGTCCTGTATTTTTTTTCTCCGCCATTCAGTGTTCAGATATTTTAATTTTGTTACAACAGTTTGTTTAACTTACATTATTTTCTCCGTCGTCTTGTCAATTGGCCTGCTGTTGGAAAAAGCAACTCCAAAATGAATTCGATAATAGTAGTGACTATTTGTGCTATGTTAATTACTTTCAGTGAGGCAGACATCAAAAAAGGCAGTCTACTGAATATTCCAGCTCGTAAGTACTTATACAATTTTCAAACTTAGTTAGTAGTTGAATTGAGTCCCTAATAGTAATAAACTTTTTTCAATTTTAAAATATTTTATTCTAGATTTCGAAATAATTTTATTTTAATTTTAAATATTTCTTTTCACTCATTATTATGGTTATAATTTTTACACTTTTCAATCCATTTCATATAATAAATGTGATCATAACAATTAATTTCGTGTAATTATTCGCACATTTTAAGACAATTTAATTATAATGGAAAAAATATAGAGCAATAAGCTATAAGGATGGTATACAATAACTATAAGAAAATTGTATTTGTTTTTTTTTTCCTGACACCCATTACCCATTTTAAACACCAAACCTATACTAATAATTACGAATTTCTTCGATATACTAGGTGTTGCAACCATTCCATCGTTGGAAAACATCAGAGATGCGTGTATGTTGATGGGAACTGCAAATTATTCAGCGAGCAGCATGGATTTGGCTTCGCCGCAGATCGGTGGTTGTCTCCTCATGGAAATCAAACAAAATTACCGCACAAGACTATTTACCTTGTGGCTTGGCAATTCTCAGAATGACAAGCAACAATGCGGTCAAGAGGGTACGTGTAAACAATTATTATTTTCGAACAATACAGGATTTTATGCTGCTACCAACTGTGAAAGCTATTAAAGTTTGTTAACTGCAGTATCTGTAATAATATTATGTAGGCAGGTACCTATTATATTAAATGGAACTCATGCATATTAAATACATTGTTAACTACACACCTATTTCATTTTAAATTAATATGCCCGCCCAGATAGTGAAATTTAACCAAATATAGGTAACTACTATATTTTTCGTAAAAAATAGTAAGTTCTTATATGTCAGTATTTCCAAAACGATTTTACTATAGCTTTTACGGTGCTACTTTTTATTACTCTTTTATACTTTCCTTTATAATTTTTTACACAAAAAAAAATATAAAAAAGGTGGGTAAGTGGATGTCCCTCTGCTGTACAGTAGGTTACAAGTGGGTCACTGTATAATGGATGCTATTAAATTTGAATTCAATGATACAATATCATTGTATAAGAAAAACGATTCTGATCGAAGACGGTATGTCAGTCTAGGTTTAAGACAAATTATATACATATCTATGGTATTAAAAAAAAAATTGACCTATAATAAATTCCAAATTAATCATATCACGTTATCACAATATCCATTAGGTACTTATAACACGTTATACACCAACATCAATAACACACCTTGATACTATTATAGATATATAATAGGTAGTACACTTTAGAAGTTTCAAGTAGGTACCCACGAATAATATTATATAATCACAACTAAATAACTAGGTTTTTTAATGTGTAATTTCGTCCAAATTTGAACATAAAATGACTATAAAAATAAACTGTGATTATATATTTTTTAGATTTTTCAGTAAGAGAATTAACTACTTACGTGGAATCTTATTTTAAATTTTAAATTTTAAATCTTAGCTATAAAAACTGAACATTTTATAATTTATTAATTACAATGATTGATAATTTTCGAGATTTTGATAAATTTTGTCAAAATTCGATTTTTAAATGCTTATAAAAAAAAATTGTGCATATGTATTTTAAATATTTTCCAACTGATATCGTAACAATATATCAGGAGCCTTGTATTCAATTTTTACACTTTTTGGCCCAATAGATAAAACTTTATTGATATTTAAAGAAAAAAAAACTAAAAAAAATTGAAAACTGTAAATGTCCGTAAACAGCTCAAAAAGAGTCAAAATATTTTCAAAATTGTAGGTGCATAGGAAATGCTAATATAAACATTCAGTGAAATTTTCATGTATCTACAGTTATTCGTTTTTGAATTACAACAAAATAAGGAAATCGCTACATGAGAAATCGAGTGAATATCCAATGTTGTAAAAATTTGAATTTCAAACGCTCATAAAAATTTAATTTGAATTTCTTATAGACATTTTTTTTTGATAAAGGTAGATAATCTTATAAAGAATCTTGTATTACATTTTCAAATCTTAGATTTAAAAAGAAAAATTTTTACGAATTCTTAACTCAAAATAATTTGTTAATTTTCGTGATTTTTCCATATTTTGTCAATTTTTGAACTTTAAATGCTTATAAAAAAAAACTGTGGCTAACGATTTTTAATATTTTACATCTGCCTTTGAAACAATATACTAGGAGCCTTCTATTAAGTTTGCAAGTTTTTTTGACCAACAAATAAAATTTACCTAATTGATATTTCTAGAAAAAAAACTAAAAAAAAAATGGAAAATGAAAATGTCCCTAAACAGTTCAAAATAAATCAAAATATTTTGAAAATGTCATCATGTATAGAAAATGCAAATATAAACAACCAGTGAAAATTTCATGTATCTACTATCATTTGTTTTAAAGTTACACCAAAAACCAAATTCAATTTTCTGAAAAATCGATTTTGCGTAAAAATTCCCGTTTTTCCTTAATTTTTCTTTTGTTTTTCTTGGCGCTTTTGATAAGTACTGGGAATTTTAAATTTTGACCACCCCAATGCACCAACGATATTCACTTTCCAATCGAACAAGATACTGAAGTTGAAAATCGAAGCATTATTTCGACTACTTATCGTGTAAACAGACACAAAAATAAAAAAATAAATAAAAAAAATATAAAAACACACATTATTGTAAAATCAATACATTCATCGTTTCACTAAGAATCTAAAAATTACAAAAATAAAATTTGAAAATATATATACATATACGTGTACTTATATTTTTTTAGGAGTTTTTTTCTCAAATAATTTTGTTGGAAATATAAAATAATGTTTTAAATGTTATAACACCTAATATAACTAAGCATAACAAATTTACTGCATCCAACCATTTATGCCTATCTCAAATGTTTCCTTTTCACAACCCTCCTACTAACTAATCGACAACATTGCGGTATTACACTGTTCAAATTAATTTATAATTTATACATTTTAGATAATAAATTGATTGATTAGGAATAGGAAATACTGGCAACACTCATTCCCTTGGAGTTCAATATATAAATTTGATTTAAAAATACCTTACCATACCACATTTATGGAGCTTGCAAATTGTTTGTTCTGTCGTCTTCGGACAACTATTCAGGTATGGAACAACTCATTTTTGCTTGTGACGAATATCCCTTGACAACGCAAGAAAATATCGAAGATGGAGCTAAGTTCGTGCGTCTATATGGTGAAAACGTCAACAAGATGGGTGGGGATAGAATCAGATGTGCCGTAAGTATATAGTAATTATGACTGAAATTGGGTTAGCCAACTGGTGCATCTGAAAACATATTATTTGAATTCGTTATAAAATTAACTTAAGACCAATAATTCGCCTTTTTTCGATTCCGCATAATCAATTTAAATATTACGTTTTCAGATTTCTAACAACATATTTTACTTCTCGATGCTCTGTGTCAAATAAGATTAGGTAACCTCACCTATAGGCGGTAGGCTTCTGCGCGGATATGGTTAGGAGCGGAAACACATGCTCTTGTTATACCTACGTTTTTTTCTAACATTGCTTGCTTCTTGCAAAGATTAACCAAGTAAAGATTTTTTCAGCCGCGGACGTCTAATAGCTATAACGTCTAAAACCGATTAAAACGCTGGGTAAGGTGTACGCGGTTAGGGGTTGAACAGTTAAATATAAGATAGGTTATAATAGGCGCGGACTGGCTGGGATGCTGGGATGCTACAGCATCCCTTGCCCTAAAATATATTTGCCTAACATTATTTATTATATATTTAAAGACTCTAGACACCTAATGGACAGTAGATCGTTACCAACTTACGAATATTAGTAATCTATAACATTGTACAATTTCGATTGAAAGTTTGTTGTAACTTGGTACTTATTTACGTTTTTAACGTATACCTATTCAATATTTTTTTAAAACAAAATAAAATATAGTATTAACATTTTATAAATAAACTATATGTTTTAAATTTTAACCCCCCAAATATTTTTATTATTTTCCCTTTAAATTGTGTACCATCCCGTGCCCTATTTTACTAGTCCGCGCCTGCATAGGTAGGTAATATGTCAGCATTTATACGTTATGCAGATTTTAAAATCACAATTGCTACAGTGATCTGACCAAACCATACAAAAATCAGTCACCACCTAAGACAACTCTTATTTGAGACAAAATACCAATTACTTCATTTAGATTTATTGAAAATTTGATATTTTACTAGGTTAATTAACAATATAACTAGGTACTCACATGTATATTTTTTTCGGAATATAACATAGGTATATTTAATATATTGTATACCTACCTACCTACAAATAATGAATGATATTAATAATTTGTTTCTATTTAACTCACCATGTTTTGAATTGCATCCCATACACCTCTTATTATACTATGTACGTATGCTTAACCATAATACATTTAATTGTTATTATACCTAGGAACTGCATTATAGATGATTTAAATTTATTTTTATATATTTTTATTAAAGGTTTAATACAATAATTTGTATTATAACATAATTATTTAAAAATGTCTAATTATTATATGTGTATTTAAAACGTATAAACGATAATTGTATGTAATTTTGAGCTGACACCAGACTTAGTCCATTTGAATTCGGATACGTGCTTCCCTCTAATTTGATTTCATTAGGTACATAATATTATGATTTGGTTGATTAATTATTTTCTCTTTCTATTTTTTTCGCATATCGAAGTTGTTCGAGAAGAACGAAATCAACAGCAACATTTTCCGCCTAGCAGTGAGCGGTAACAACTCTTGCTCTGGTTTGGCCAAGGTTTTCTATGAAAAACCTCGGATGATGCCCAAAGGATCTACCTTTCTACAGTTAACAAGATACCTAGAAAACCAGGAACACCAATCAAAGGACAGACTATCAGTGTCAAATCCTACTCCTGCAATTGAAAACCAGCTGGACTTTTTAGTTAAGTTTATGCCAACCCCCTTAGGATCCAATTTTCTACGGTTAATGAAGTACCCAGAAAACCAGGAACACCAATCAAGAGACAGACGTTCAGTGATAAATCCTACTCCCACAAGTCAAACCCAGGACCTGTTTACCAAGTGGAGGCCTCCAATTTATTAGGTTTTAGTACCTAAACAATTTTTTTCTGATTATTCACAATTTTTTTCTTTGTAAATGGAATTTTTTTCTCTCCGTAAATTATAAAATAAATAAATAATTATTAACAATAAAAACTTTAATCAAATAACCAATTTTGCATTTTATTTGTCTTCTAGTTGCTAGTAGGTAAAATAACAAAATCTTTTAATTTTCTGTAAAATAAGTGTGCCATGTAGTTACATGGGAATATTTCTTTTTTTTATAACAATAAATATATAAATTTTGCATTATTGGTGTGTGAACAATTCTGATTTATACTGCTATGCTACCAAACGTACCTATACTGTTTGGTCCATTATCTTTTTTAAGAATAAAAATATATAAGTACCAAATGCCAATTATACCATAGTAATAAAGATAACATCATCTGCTACAATTAGGGTTCTGAATTTGAAATATTTCAAAATTGAAAATTTCTCTCTTCATGAAATAATGAAAAATGTATTTTCTTTTTTTAAACGTGTTCGGTTATAGATAATAATACATTTATTGCACACTGAAAACATTGATAATGAATAACTTTTCAGTTATAATCAAGGACTAAGATCATAGATAGTAAAATAATGGATAAGCCATAAGCCATGATATTATATTATCATATGTGCATGAACGTTACAAGAGGTCTTATAATAAAATAATAATGAAACCCCTTGCTTGTGTAAGAAGCACTATATAAAAGCACTCTGTCTCTCATCCACATTCCGGTATGCAAACACCTCGTATATTAATGTAGGAATATGGCTTATCCATTCTTTTATTATCTATGACTAAGATTAACAGGACTGGAAACGAACAATGGGGCACGGTATATGAAAAGATCCACATCTGCTACGAAAAGTCAACAAATCTATTAGTATTAGTCTTTTTTCATCAATATTATCTATAAATTAAACTGTATTATATACTTAATGTTTTTTAGATTTTTTGGTTATAGTATGAATTATGTATGATAAATCTAATAATAATAACGAGTTTATTTTGTCAATATAACATTATACGGTTCAACAACAAAATACATAAGAATAATAAGTAAATTAAGGGCACTAAATGAAAGTAATATAATATGATAACAATTAAGAGGACGCAGTGATTATTAAAATCAACATTACCTGTGTTCCCTCTTTGTTTTTTTACGATATTTTAATTTGCAAGTGACTTATAATAGTTATTAATATTTGAAAATGTTTTTAGTTATGACTATGTATAAAATAATAATATTTGAAAATGCTGATTAATCACTTAAAAATTAAATATTGTAAAAAACAAACGAGAGAACACAGATAATGTTGTTACCTAAAAGTTTGATAATAGGCCAATTCACTTAAATAGCAAAACGAACAGCACCTTATTGCGAATGAAAATGTGCTATATAGTAAGTATGTAACATGGAGACAAAACATGCGGGTGCGCTGCCTCTTAACATTAAATTACATTGAGTCACTTCTAAAAAGCTTGTGCTAATAAGGGAGTTTCTTATAACTAGGGCTTGGAACTTAATGCACTTAAAAATTACTGAAAAAATTACAAATATGCATGCACTTATGCGTTTAAAAAAGTACAAATATGACTTAAAAATATGCACTTATATTTTTTTTATTGCAACATTTTCATAAATACAAATATTTTACTAAATTATACATTACATTACAAATAATGTTTTAAGAAACTAAACATAATTGCCAGGTAAGATAAAATAAAATAAATAAATAGCTTGAAAAATGTTCTTGATATAAAATTAATTTTCTTTTAAAATGTTCTCATTAAATGACATAGCATAAATAAAAATTTAAAAAAACTTGGAATTTGTGAATTATGATACTATAATACCTAATGAATACTCAAAATAAATACTTTTATTTTAGATTCTGAGCGGAGCGATGAATGTATTGGTTTTACAATGATGTATGTTTTTATATTTTTATTTATATTTTTATATTTTTGTGTCTGTCATCACGTTTTAGGACAGTAAAAGTGCTTCGATTTTCTTCAATAGTACCTTTTCTGATAGGAAAGTGAATCTAGTTGGTACTTTGGGTGGTCAAAAGTAAACATTTCAAAGTAGTTTTCACAAGTGCCGGGAAAAACAACATAAAAATTAAGGAAAAATGGGAATTTTTACGCAAAATCGGTTTTCCAAAAAATCGATTTTGGTTATTGGTGTAACTCTAAAACAAATGAACGTATATACATGAAATTTTCACTGGTTGTTAATATTTGAATTTTCTATACACGATAACATTTTCAAAATATTTTGATTTATTTTGAACTGTTTAGGGACATTTTCATTTTCCATTTTTTTTTAGTTTTTTTTTCTAAAAATATCAATAAAATTTTATTTGTTGTTTGCGAAAGATTGAAAATTTAATAGAAGGCTCCTAATATGTTGTTTCAAAGGCAGATGAAAAATATTAAAAATCCTTAGTCACAATTTTTTTTTATAAGCATTTAAAGTTCAAAAATTGACAAAATATGGCAAAATCACGAAAATTAGCAAATTATTTTGAGTTAAGAATTCGTAAAAATTTTTCTTTTTAAATCTAAGATTTGAAAATGAAACACAAGATTCCTTATAAGATTATCTACCTTTATCAATAAAAAAATCTCTACCGGACAGTCAAATTAAATTTTTATGAGCGTTTGAAATTCAAATTTTTACAACATTGGATTTTCACTCGATTTCTCATGTAGCGATTTCCTTATTTTGTTGTAATTCAAAAACGAATAACTGTAGATACATGAAAATTTCACTGAATGTTTATATTAGCATTTCCTATACACCATACAATTTTGAAAATATTTTGACTCTTTTTGAGCTGTTTATGGACATTTACAGCTTTCAATTTTTTTTAGTTTTTTTTTCTATAAATATCAATTAAGTTTTATCTGTTGGGCCAAAAAGTGTAAAAATTTAATACAAGGCTCCTGATATATTGTTACAATATCAGTTGAAAAATATTAAAAATACATATGCACGATTTTTTTTTATAAGCATTGAAAGTTGGAATTTTGACAAAATTTATCAAAATCTCAAAAATTATCAATCGTTGGAATTAAAAAAATATAAAATGTTCAGTTTTTATAACTAAGAGTTGAAAATTTAAAACAAAGATTCTCTTAAATAATTCATACTGTAACCAAAAAATCTAAAAAAATATATAAACACACTTATTTTTTACAGACATTTTAATTTCAAATTTAGACAAAATTTCATATTTAAACCAAGAATTACGATTTTAATTATTTTGTTGTGATTGAATAATATTATTCGTGGGTACTTGAAACTTCTAAAGTGTACTATTATATATCTATGATAGTATCACGGTTTTTGTTGATGTATAACGCGTTATAAGTATCTAATGGATATTGTGATATGATTAGTTTGAAATTTATTATAGGTCAATTTTTTGTTTAATACCATAGATATGTATATAATATGTCTTATACATAGACTGACATACCGTCACCGCTCAGAATCGTTTTTCTTATACAATGATATTATATCATTGAATTCAAATTTAATAATATCCATTATACAGTGACCCACTTGTAACCTACTGTACAGCAGAGCGACACCCACTTGCCCACCTTTTTTTAATTGCAATTTTTTCAAATAGTATAATCAATTTATCATTGATCATTAATTTATATCCTCTAAAAAATGGTGAAATTAAGAAATATGGGATTACAATTACTAAATCACTAAATATGCAAAAACATGCGCTATGAACATTTAATATATTTTTGGGAGTGTCGTGAAAATAATTTTAAGATAACTTAGCAAATAATTGAATAGCCAAATAAAAACATGCAAAATAGAAATCACTTATTAAATTTCATGACCAACATATACTCGTAATTAATATTAATTAAATAAGAAAAACATTTATAAATCATAACTAAGTGTAACATGATTAAAGTAATTATGTTTAGTATATAATTTTAAAGAGTTAATGTTATTAAAATAAAAAAGATTTAAATTTTATTTGAAACTACTTAATAGAATTAAGGTTAGAATGAAATTTATTTCTAGTATTATAATTATGTTCAATAGTATCCAAAAAATGTCTGTTTTTATAATATACAAGTAAAAGCAAAGATTTATAATATAAAATAGAGATGCGTGGGACAACAAAGTCAATATATTGCTAATTTGTTGAACGGCTTTGAGATAATGAATTTTATTAAACCATTAGTAGTAGTGTTCAAAGGAGTCAAATAATTGTTGTAAATACCATCCTAAAAAGGAAATCCATTGTAAACTAGAGACAATATAACAACATATATAAAATTCTCAGTTGCTTAACACTTTCATAGCTTTTAACTGGTTCTTATTTTATTAGTGTTATGATAAACTTACTATTGGTTATTTTCATTTTTAAGAATTTTATTTTATTAAGTCTCACAACAGGTTTACTCAAATATTATATATAATGAATGTTAAGAGAACAGTGAAAACTTATACAAATCTCGAAAGAGTATTAAAAATACATTACTAGGTTCTACATGACTACTAAGGGTATTATAAATTCTTAAGTTAATTCTTTGTATACTAATCTTTTCATGTAGGTAAAATATTTACTTTAAATCTAGATTCGATTGTTTCTGTGAATAGTGGCTAATCATCATCGTGACATATTGCAATAGGGTTTGTTTCTGTGGCGGAACCACAGAGCCATTTGTCTTAGTTGTTGAAGTAAGTATGCTGAAAAAAAAAATATTATTACATACTATGATTTAGCTTTTGATTACAATTGTTATATTAATGATTAAAAACAAATGTTGAAATATTTGCAGTTTTAATTAGGAACTCACTACTTCTTGCCAGGTCGTCCAATATTCTGTAGTTATGTAATTGGCCATAATTATTATCGTTCCAGTTTTTTTTAGTGGCACTGTTGGATTTTGTTAATTAGGTACTGTTAAGTAATCTGGAAAAAGATAATTGGTTAACCCTAATGGTA